CTTCTTCGGATTGATGCTTCAGATGAAGATCACAATCATCGAAGTTCAACGTGATATTTGGATATGAATCCAAATCGGTAAATTGTACTTTTACTATGTACATTCTTGTAACTTTTTTTGTAACTTTTTTGTAATTCAAAAGGATTCGATAATTCTGTTTTCGGATAGCGTGAAAGAAAATGGTCATTTGAAAACACATTGCCTTTCATTTTAAATAAAATATTTGTAATATTAATTTAATTAATAAAAAAAAACTTTTAAAACATTTATTTAAATCAGTAAATTTATAATTTTTTTTTTAATTTTATATTTAATGTTTTGAAAAAAACAATTTTGATCAATGGGATCAAATTTTTAATTTGTAAATTTTCTTCCGATCAAAGAAATTTAAAAATTGAAAAAGAAGGCGTTGGGCCGATAACCTGTTCAAAAATAAAAATGATTTCCATTTTAAAAGCTTGATTAGTTAATCTTGCTCTTTTTTGATCATTCTCGTTTCTTCGAATCTATGAATGTATGAATGAAAAAGAAAAAAGAAAAATTGGTAAATTTTACAAAAATGAAACAAAACAAACTTTCATTGAACTTACTATTATATTTACCAAAAAGACTGAAATTGCAATCGGAATTTATTCTTTCCGGTAAATCGAACAAGTTTTCATTTCATTTTTTAATTCGCATTTTATTAAAGACGACTTTGTGTGAAAAAGTATGTTCACTCATTGAGTGATAAAAAACGATTAAACACTTTAGTTAAGGAAAAACTCTATTTATACCAGAAAAAAATGAGTAACATTATTGTGACATTCATAGATGAAGTTACACAATAGATAGAAATGGTATCAACAAGGGAAAAACAATTCGAAATTTCAACGATTAAAATAACGATAATCATCGGAAATTAGCCATGATCGGTTGCAAGGTTGGCCAATTCATCCGTTGAGAAAAACATGTTTCATCATAAAACGATGATGAAGGTCCATCCAAAAATTGGGCACTCCAGTGCTAGATGCTCCATCGTCTGCGGTTTGTTGCTATCACACACGGGCAGGAGCCATCTTCGACAAATTTAAATCTCCAGATGTAATGTGTCTGGTAGCAAGTTCGAAAGTGTGAACATATCTTTTTTAAAAGAAAAAAAATTCGAATTCAAAATCGAATTTTAAACGATATAAATGAAAACAAAGCAAAGCGCAAAGCAAACAAGATCTTCCTTTTCGATTTCGATATTTTAATATTTACAAAAAAAATTACAAAAAAGTTAAAGCCAAAAATCAGTATCCCATTTATCTTGGTTTTCCATTTTGGTTTTGATTTTTGAGTTTTCTTAAAGATTCAATAATGATTTTGAATATAGTGTAAGTGAAAAAATTCATACAAATGAAAAAAAAACTTTGCACAAATTTATACAGGATTCAAACGATTTGATTTTTTGGGAAAAAATGATTTGATTTTATTATTATAAAAACAATTAAAAAACATTTTTAAAGCAAATATTTAATCCATGTGTTCTACATCCCAAAAGGGATCATTACTATTATTATCATCATCATTATCATTAGCCAGAACTAATGTTTGTTGATCATCATCAATCTCTTCTACTTCATTGAAAGTTGATTGGATCGGTACAGATCTCGATGATTCT